CTGTATGTGGGATCCGAACTCTCGGCGGGAGCGCCACCGTGCTTCCCAAGCGGCGCACTATAGCAGTGCGCCACTGGGCCGGCCCTACTGGTGGTGTTTCTATGTATTTTTTTGTTTTCTACAGTCAACATGTATTCCTTTTGTGTATTAGTTTTTACAATCAGAAAAAAAAATTAAAATTTTGATGTTCTAAAGGCTTTTTCTGGCAAATTAATCTCCAATCAGCTAATGAATTTCTATTATGCATAATCCTGCAACTCTTATACTCTACAACAAATCTGAGAGTTTCTCTGATGGTTTCCTTTTATCCTATTTCATCTCTGCCCCATACTTATTTCACGTAACCATCAGAGACCTAATTTCTTGTACTTATTGACATCTTCCTTGTTAAACTCTTGATGTCACTATGTATAAATCTCACTTCATATCTGATAATGCTTTTACTTTTACAACAAAGAAAGATTACATTACTGTATATGATATAAATTTGGGATGGTTTGTGTTTTTCCCCTCCCATGTTACAGGTTTTCTCATGTTAGTAGATACTGTGAATTTAGTATCATTAAATTAAGTTAGTTTTGTCTAGATAGTCATTTGATCTTTTTGAATCTCAGCTATGCTCATGCTTGAAAATTCACAAATGACCTTTCCTTTCATTTTTATTCAATTGCAGGGAGAGAGAGGATTTCCAGGTTTGGAAGGCCATCCGGGTTTACCTGGATTTCCAGGTCCAGAAGGGCCTCCAGGGCCTCAGGGACAAAAGGTATGTGTCAAGTTGCCGACCAGTAATACCAGAAAAATTAAGCCATCTTAAACTTAAGACTAGGTGTCAAGTCAACTAAAAAGTTACTGAATTATAGCCAGAAACTAATATTTAAATGACACGGTGGAATGGTGGGGAATTTATACTTTTTTTAAAGCTGAATATTACTGCCATATTCAGATACTTTTGGAAGATGCTATTAATTGTATGTGGTTATTGGGATCCTTAACACAAATTAAGTACTGTCAGGAGCTCAGCTGCGCTGGAGAGAGTTGAGTTGCCAGGTGTCAGAGTAGCTGATTAAGACAACAAGCTTAAATGAAAGTAACAGTCAAGCCTTTACTCATTTCCTGCAGTATTACAAGAAGGAATTAAACTAGAGAAAGCGCAACCCCCCCCCCCCCGCTTTACATTTTTCCCTATTGCACAGCATCAGCAAGTGTCAGATGGATCAGCACAGATGTTGAGAATTGTATCACTGCTGAGGGAGCTTGTAGGGAAAGTGAAGGTAAATGGTTAGAGTCCCTCGGGAATTCAGAGTTTTGTTGAGCATTTGATATGCACATGTGCCCAGGTGTTTCTTAGATATTGTCTAATGTAATTGTGCATGTGCACCCAGGTGTTCCTGGGTTGTCTCACTCACACCCAGGTGTCCTGGGTTATCAGACTTGAGTATAAAGGACGAATGGCTCTGATCCACAGGAACTTGAGTATAAAGGACGAATGGCTCTGATCCACAGGGCCCCTGTCCCCCCTGGGATGCCTACAGGGGCCCACTGGGAAGCTGCTACAGCTGCTGGAGGCTGTTGCTGCCAGGGCCCCTGGGATGCCCTGAGAGGCTGCTGCTGCTGCTGAGGAAGCTGAGGACTGAGCTCATGTCATCTGCCAATGGCTCCTGGGATCTTTCCCAGTTACCTAGCTCGTGAACCTGCATGTGTGGGGTCTGGTGACCCAGCCAGGCATATGAGAGGACTGGTGACCCAGTCTGTATTTGAGGGGTCTGTGACCCAGTCTGTACAACAGGTTTGAAGGATCTCTGTGGGCCCTAGCCCTAATGATACAGTTGGCTACGTAGGCAGGATTCTGATAGTAGCCCTAGCAATACAGAGCTCAGAACAAAAAGCTCCTTCAGTTGAATGGACCCATGGGCAGGGTGGGAGAAGGAGAAGGGCTTGGAGTGGAATAGTAACTGAGTCAGAGAGCAGAAAAAGTGTCTTCAAGGTTTCCCCCTCCCGTAAGGAGGTCTCCACCCAAGGCCCCCGATAAAGAGGACTTCAAATGCAGATTTAAGAGCACGACCAGCCAGGGGGAGCCTGAGTCCTTGAATGCAGCTCCCTTGAGAGACTGCAGTGCCTGAGCCACAATCTGATGTGGGGAGGGCAGCTGTCCCTCATGAGGCCTACCAGGAGGCTTTTGGTTGGGCCTGCAAAATCACACATAGGTTCTCCATACCACATTCTAACCAAGTGAGGTAACCGTCCAGCCCTATGTTTTAACTGAAAGGTATTAATTGTATTTATTTATAGGGTACAGAGTTATATTTCATTACATGTATACAATGTGTGATGATCAAATCAGTTTAATTAGCATATTTATCATCACAAAATTTAATCATTTCTTTGTAATAACAGGATTTGAGCTCTTCTCCTAGCCTTTTGAAAACATACAATAAATTATTGTTAATTATGTATATTTTTTATTCTAACAGTTGATTGTACATACCTGTGGGGTACAGAGTTAAATATCATTACCTGTGTGCAATATATGATGCTCAAATCAGGATAATTAGTATATTAAGCATTATATAATGTAATCGATTTTTGTGGCCCTTTACCAATTCCTCCCTTACCCCCAAATTATTGTCGATTATAGATGCCTAGCCCTACTGTAGACCACTGGAACTTGTTTTTCCTATCTAGCTGTGATTTTGTATCCATTATCCAACCTGTCCCTATGCTCCCCTCCCCCATCTCCTTCCTAGACTCTAATAACCCCAACTTTATTCTTTACTTCTAGAATCTCAACTTTTTTTTTTTAAGCTTCCACATGAGAGTGAGAACATGCGTTATTTATTTTTCTGTGCCTGACTTATTCCACTTAACCTAATGTCTTCCAGGCTCATCCATGTTGCAGCAGATTATAGGATTTTATTCTTTTTATGGCTGAGTAGTATTCCATTTTGTGTATATATACCACATTTTCTTTTTTTTTAATGGCTCTTTTGGCTCAGTGCCCTTTTCCATCTGTATTATGTAGACTGAAGTGAGGTATGAAAGGGCCAGTTCTGTTCATTTGTCTGGAAAGGAAAATTGTCTTAAAAACCTTTTTTTCGGGCCGGCCCGGTGGTGCACTGTAGCAGTGCGCCGCTTGGGAGCGTGGCGGCGCGCTCCCGCTGAGGGTTCGGATCCCACATACAGACTGGTTCCCGCTCACTGGCTGAGCGAGGTGCGGGCGCAACACAAGGGTTGCGATCCCGTTGCCGGTCCTGGTCCTGTACAGGCGCGACACTGAGGGTTGCAACCCGTTGCCAGACACGAAAAAAGACAAAAAAAACCCTTTTTTTCTTAATTTTATTATTTCATAAAATGGTGGTACATCATGTAATTAGAGTATTAAGGAAATCTAATGGATACTCATGAGACAGTCCTCCCAATAAAGGGGAAAAATAAATTTATATGCATGAATGCTTTTTAACACTTAACTATACCAGAGCTTAGATTTTAGGAGTATGCTGACTATGATCTCTGGGGAGGTAGCAGTATATCAGGTAGTTTTGTTAGATTCAAGAGCAGAAGGAACTTGTGCTAAATTTCCTGAGTAGAGCTTTAGCACTGAGGAAACAACAAAACCCTAAATGAGTACATAGAATTTTGGTTGATGGGCCATTCACCTGAATTTCCTGTGTCTAATGGCACAGCAAGAGCAAGAGCAGCAGACTGATTCTTGTGCACCCAGGAGTGGCACAGAAGTAGCAGAGCAATATGAAAGAGTCAAGTGGGTAGAACTGAGCACTAACTCAGCAGTAACTCATGCAGACTAATGGGATATCACAATGAATTCCATCTTGGACTAGACTGTCTCACCCCTGAACACATTGGAACCACTTAAGCTTTCCAAAACTTAGGCACAATCTTGTGAAAATGAGGTGGGAATTCCAGTTGACTAAGATTGAATGTCAGTCATGTTATGGAAATCGGTGTGTTGAAATAGAAATTAAGTTCAAACATAGAAAAAGTTACACTTCTTGTTTCTGAGTTTACTTGAGATTAAGGGCTAAGTTTCTTGCACACTATGCTTGCTGGGAGGTGGTAGTTTTAATAACGATTTGTGTTATATAAAAAGAACTTAAGTAATTAGGATTCCTTTGAAATAATTTAGTATTGACTGGGACTATTCTACAATAGTATAATGGTTTGTAAAGATGTGCTTGTATGCAGTTTACGTTTAAAAAGCAGTCAAACATTTTGCTGTGATGCCATTTCAGAGTCTGTAAAGTGAGAAGGTAAACTGCATCCTAAACTTTTAGGGTTATGAATATGAAGCACTTTGTATTTCCAGTGTGACTTCATGTTTCTCAGTATAGCTGAATTTATACTTTCTGTTTGAATGGGTATTCTGGAACATGTATATGTTACAAGTCAAAACTTTTGTACGATTATTCTCTTTTAATTTTTTTTATTGAAACAGTTAATCATACATATCTGTAGAGTACAGAGTTGAATATCAACACATGTGTGCAATATGTGATGCTCAAATCAGGATAATTAGTATATTCAACATTATACAATGTAAACATTTTTTGAGGCCCTTTACCAATTCCTCTCCTACCTCCCCTTCCCACCTTTGGTAACCTCAGTCCTGTTCTCTCCTTTAGAAAGTTAAACATATTGTGATTGTTGTATCTTTCTTTCTTTTTAAATTTATTTGTTTATTTTTTTTAGCTCCCACTTACGAATGAGGAGATGTGGTATTTTTCTTTCTGTGCCTGGCTTATTTCACTTAACATAATTTTCTCTAAGTTGATCCATGTTGCTGCAAACAGCTTATTTCATTCTTTTTATGGCAGAGTAGTATTTCATTCAGGAGTATACCAAATTTTCCTCATCCAGTCATCTGACAATGGACATTTAGTTTGGTTCCAACTCTTAGCTATTGTAAATAGAGCTTCAATAATATAAGGGTGCAGGTATCCCTTCAACATGGTGATTCCCATTCCTTTTGGTATATATCCAGCAGTGGAATTGCTGGATCATCTGGAAGATCTATCTGCAATTGTTTGAGGAACCTCCATACCATTTTCCATAATGGCTGCACCAATTTACAGTACTACCAGGAGTGTAGGAGGGTTCCCCTTTCTACCCATTTGTTATTCTCTGTCTTTTTGAAATAGCCAGTCTAAATAGGATGAGATGATATCTCAATGTGGTTTGATTTGCATTTCCCTGACACTGTGACGTTGAGTATTTTTTCATGTGTCTGTTGGCCATTTGGATATCTTTCTTTTAGAAATGCCTATGCCTATTCAGCTTATTTGCCCATGTTTTAATCAGGTTATTCATTTTTTTACTGTTAAGCTTTTTGAGTTCCTTGTGTATTCTAGATATTAATTATTTGTCAGATGTATAGTTTGCAAGAATTTTCTCCCACTCTGTATTTTGTCTTTTCTCTCTATTGTTTCTTTTGCTGTGCAAAAGCTTTTTAGCTTGATATAATCACATTTATTTTTCCTTTTGCTATCTGTGCTTTTGGGATCATATTCATAAAGTCTTTGCCCAGTCCTACTTCCTGAATTGTATCCCCTATGTTTTATTTTAGGAGTTATAGTTTCAAGTCTTTTGTTTAAGTATTTAATTGATTTTGAGTTGATTTTGGTATATGGTGAGAGGTACAGGTCTAGTTTTATTCATCTACATATGGACGTCCAGTTTTCCCAGCACAATTTATTGAAGAGGCATTCTTTTCCCCAATGTATGTTCTTGGTGCCTTTCTCAAAGATCAGT